GGAACTCCGCAATAGTCCAAAAAAGGTGAAATCTTAAATCTAAATTCGCATATTTTCCTGAATACCTTCTCTTACTGCGCTAAACAAGATATCCTTAGTGCAAAATCGCTCCTCAAATCCGTGCAACTTATGCAAATTTGATTAGTCTTTTCCGTACTCCTTGTTGTAAAAATTAAGCTAAGCAACGTCAAATTTATTTGAGGCAGCAACGTTGCTAGCGGAGAAACAGCGCAGGTTCTACTAGACAATAATTTGAGAATTATAAAACACTCATGATATTGGAGCATGCAAAACTTCAAATAGTGTAACTTCTAAGTACAACAAAAGAGTTTTGTCTCCAAACAAACACAAATTTACATAGTTGCATTCAGGTTCGTGGATCCGTACCAATTTTTTGGAGCCAGAAAGGCTTTAAATATCGTCCTCCACTATCTATCGACCGTTCCCTGGAGGAGAGTATGCCGTATTTTACCACTCATATGCAAATGCTGATTAGTCACTACGGGTCACCTTTGGTCGCCGTAAATCTTGTTGATCAAGCCGGTCGAGAATTGGAACTAGCGAAGAGTTTCGTGGAGGTGAATATTCAGAAGCTTGGTCCGGTTTTGTTTTACTCAGGTTCTGTATCTGTAAAGTTTCTGAATTCGTTCAAGCACGCCGCAAGATTCAACTCGCCTGACTTGCATTTCGTTTCCTTTGATCTCCACCGGCATTGCCGCGGTTTAAAATTCGATAAGGTTTATCATATACAAGGTTCTTACTTTCCTGAGAAAAAAATGTGATTTTCAGATTGGCGACATCATCTCAAGAATGGAAGACTTACTGCGAGAAATTGGTTACTGCTGGGTAGACAAGACAGGTCATTTGGCATTTATTGAAAGTGTCCTATCAACACGTATGTGTTTAGGTGAAGTTGTGAAAACGCAAAAAGGTGTGGTGCGAACAAATTGTGTAGATTGCTTGGATCGAACCAATTTAGTACAGGTGTATAAAACAATATTTTTTCATATTTTAGCATATTTGTTTTCAATACTTCGTTTATGTGTTTAGGGATCTATCTCTCAGTGGGTTTGCATGCAGCAGGCGCAACGTTTAGGACTGTTTGGCCC